AACATTGGTATGTCACACCATCTTGAAGTTCAAACTGCTCATATAGGTGCCATAGGTCTTGTGCATCTATGCTACACTCCACTACTAGTGCTGTTGGGCATGACCTTGCTGGACATGTTAGGGTCATTTGGTAACTCACCTTGGAACGTTCATCCTTTAATGCTGTTACTTACTTCATAGTTGGCTTTTACTATGGCTGAAACTGCCATGGTTTCAACTCCCACATGTGTTCAGGATCAGAACATTCCACAAACACACATGGTCTCACCATGTAGCAAGGTAATCCATCCACATTTCTGTGTTGTGAGCCTGGGCAATAAACTAGGATAGTCCATATTTTTGCAACTGTGTTATCCAACGTGTTATCATCCCCTTCAGATTTTTGAAGTTCAACAACCATTTAAGTGAAGCAATATCCACCCAGATGGTGAACTTCCTACCATACATATAGTGGCAATTGTGTTTTACGAAGACAACTACAGTCAGTAGCTCTTTCTTCATTTTACAGTATCTGTATTTGGTAGCTGCGAGTATACAATTATACACGATTACACAATCTCCTCTATCCTGCAACTGTGATAACACCACTCCAACTCTGTTGTCACTGGCATCGGTGTGCAAAAGAAACTTGCAGTTCTGGCAGGGATAAAGCAGCACTGGAACATCCATGAAAGCAAAGTTTAGGGATCACAGTAGTGCCGCTATCTTTGAGATTTTGGCCACAAATCATTGGCATTATGATGCAAAACTGAAGAAACTGTGGACTTCATTCTTTTTCACTGGTTGAGGCTAATCTCTCACTGCAGCTATCTAAGCTGGGTCCATCAAGACTATCTCTCTCCCAATAATGTGACCAAGAAATGTCACTCTCATTCGAATAAGCAAACGTTCTCGTGGTTTCAGTTAAAAACCTGCCATCTATGTGCACTATAATACCATCTTCAGGTTCTCAGACATAGACTTAAGTATGGCCAATCTCAAAGTTATCATTGACTTAGACCAGACACCTCTTCCATTGCAGTCCCTCAAGTTTAAGCTACTCCAAAGTAGGTAATGCATTACACAGATAGAATGGCATAAAACAGAATTCATACAGATCATCTCTTGTGCTAAAAACAACCTTAGTCCTGTCATCTAGTTTGATTTGCCAGTATTTGGACATTAGATCCAAGTTATTGAATCAACATAAGCCTTTTAACATGTCCAGACACTCATTTGCCTGTAGTAAGGGGAAGGACCTCACTGATGGATGCCTTTTGCCTCATTTGTTGAGAACACAACTGTGACCTGTAGAAATCTTCCACTAGTAGCAAGTACAACCTCTGTCCACTAGTTTTTGGTTCTGTTCATTCTCTGACTTATGGTGGCCTAGGAATTGGGTAGAGGCCTCTCATGTGGTTTCAAACTTAGCAGGGCCAATCTATTTCAACAAACCTCTGTTGTCCACACTTCCCATTTGCCAAGATGGATTCTTAGGGGTATTGTCTGCTTGAATGGTATGTTTGCACTAGTTTTTAGCAACTCTCTGAGTCAGCAGTTGCAAGCTGACTAATCTTATGGACCATCTTACCAACACTAAAAGTTATATGTCCAGGAGAGGACTTATAATAGACTCAGCATCTCTCTCTGCTAGTAAATCTTTCCTCTCATTCATGAGTATTTCTACATCTAGAATAAGCCATTCTTTTTGTGATATCTTCTGGTGGGACAATGGAAACTTAGTGGACCTACAAGTATAAAATCTCAGGTTTGATTTCCGTGGTGGACTCAGCAGATAGCCAGATTTTGTTTTGTTCTAAAACAAAACAAACTTTAAACTCAAGAGATCAGTCATGTACTAATGTGTACATTATCATTTCAGTACCTTCTAGTTATAGCACCAATTTCTTCATCCTATCCACTTGTGGTATTTTCAGGTAAAATAGATTTCCTCACACCCAGGGGTCCTAATAATTGGTAATACGTATTATGGGATTCCTTAATTTTTTTTTCTACCTTTTATCTTTGCAACACAGTCATAAAAGAGCGAAGAGTATACCTGGATCAGATGTGGTGCAGTCTCTTGTTGAGATATGTTATTTTCTGTTTTTGGTTCCACACCTCATGTCTCTTTGGGCACTTCCTAAAGGTGGGTCATTTCCCATCCAGCCTCCCCACTTCCAGTGATATATGGTGTGATCTTCTGACCAGTCTTGAAGTGATTAAAGAATGCAAATGTGGAGAGGGTACTGGTTATGATAGGGGTTGTGTTGCACTTCTATTGGTGGAGAGCTGCTGCAAAATCATATCCAAGTGGATATGCAGAAGTGGGAGGTGGAAGGCTAGTGGCGAGCATTGAAAATTTACACCAATAGAGGGCAGTACTGAACAAGAAAAGCTATTTTGTGAAAGGAGGTAAGTATATTGGAAATACATTTTCAGTTTAGGAAAATGTTAACTTTTAGTAGACTGTATTTAGCTTCATTGCTTTCTCACTCTCAGGATTAGTTTCTCTAGAACTAAAACACAGTGTTTTTGAAATAATGTCTTCACTTGGCAATCTCCTAATAGAATTGTCTAAACAAAGTATGTTTGAATTCAACAGGTAAACTCACTTTCTTTGTCCAGTTGACACTGTCATGTCATAAGTTTTGTTATAGCATTGGTCTGCTGTATCATTTAGACAATTTCAACTGGGTCAGCAAAGGATATTAGGGTACTAATCCTTTCAACCCAGATGCTATATATTCTGTAATATCCTTTTAAGCATAATAGACATTACCTACTATAGAGAACAGAAAAAAAGCAACTAAAACAAGGCAATGTCATTGACTTTCTAGACCACATGTTGCCACTATTACAGTAGATTAAAAAAAAAAAAAAAAAGCGGTTCTCTTCCGTGATAAAGTTTCTCTTGGAGCTTAAAGACGTGGAACCTTTTCCATAAGAAGTATGTGATTAATAAAAAATACACACAAGAACAGAAACAAAACTGGATGGTGCTCATGGATGAATCCACACTGGATCACTCATCACAGCACACAGTTTTCTTTGAAGTTGTGATATGCAGGCATATTATGTTTTCTACTTGTTTTACTGATATAGCAACTTTTAAAATGTTTTGGTTATTTGCTTCCCAGTGTGTATCTGACTCTTAGCATGACATGGTCATAAAGACAAACTTTCCCTGGCACTTGTCATGTACCAGTTTGGACATCTGATTAGTGTAGCCTTTGTGGTTTGAATTGAGCATTTCCAACAACTGATTGTACATTCTCCAGTCAAGAAGGATGCTAACCCTGATTATTTACACACTTTTCTCCTTTTAATGCTGGGGAATAAAGTTCTGTGTATGTAGAAGTACATTGATACATTGAAGAGAAATTGAAGTTAATAATGCCCGATGTAGGCACTCTTGCTTCCTTATCACACCTAGTTTTTGGTCTGAGATATAACAGGGTTTGCACTAGTGTAATTATCAGGTACTTGTCTGATAACACACAAAGTAGTATTGTTGACCAAAGAGTTAACCTTGTAAATGATAGTATGATGAAGTAGAGAGAAGAAATTGTATACATATAGAATTTAAGAGTATCTGTTTGAAATTAAATTTTAATATTGTACAGTTAAAAACATTAAACAAATAAAATTATGTATAAGGTAAGAAAACATTCTACAATGAACAGTCAGTCTTCAGACTGTATTAAGAAAGAAAGTAACCTTAAGATTTTATTGTGTAATCATTTCAAAAGGTCAATCAATATGTTTGTTATAGCATACAGTTTATAATAGTTTATCAAAGTTGGTGGCTTAAGTAGCAAAGTTTCTATTCAAGAGTTTTAAAAAAATGTCACTATATTAACCTAACATGGTTATTAAAAATTTGTTTCCTTACAATATAGGTAGGTGTTTCATAAGAAATGAAACAAGCTTTCACAGTGCATGGGAACATTAAATTTTAATGTTACCTGTGATCATTTATTGTCACATACTCTCTTGTCTCTCAACTCACCACATCTCAAAGCCACCAGACAAGATTATCAGGAAACGAAAGGACTTTAACACTGCTGTAGTCATATCTGATGTTTATCATCTTTTATTTCTAGCAGAATGCATTTTTTTTTCACAGAAAACACAGGTGTTTAAGAGATTTGAAGCATTAATTTTTTGTGCAGCAAAGAAAATAGGTTTTTTTTTTCACTTTCAAAGCTGAAATTTACAGGAGATTAAATGACAAATTATTTACTTTTTTTACATTAATTTTAAATTTTTAGAATAACATATTTAAAGTATGTTCTAGGATGAGTAAGATATGTTTCATGTCATACAGTTGTGAATTTTACAAATACCGATGCAATCTTTATATAGGACATTGTCCATGCTGCTGTCTTGTTGTATAAAGATGACAGTGACAAAGAATTCTGGGCTGACAGCTCAGACAATGATGGCAGTTCGAGTGATTCTGAAATTGCGGAGGGGGTAAGGATCTTGATGACATAAGAGTTTAATTTTTTATGAAAGTGCAAGATGAAGATCTTTATTTTAACTTGTTTTGTTTAAAGAGATACCACAAAAGGATCAACTATTATACTTTATTGTTTTTTAAAGTATGAGTTTGGGTTTTGATTTGTTGTTGAAATTACATATATGCATGTAAGGTTTTGATTTAGTACAAAGTTTGAAAAACGTTCATCAATTTTTATTTACTTTTTCAGGACAAATGGCAGTGTACTCATTGTGATAGCATTAACAAACCTCCTTTGCGGTTCTGTCAGAAATGTTGGGAAGAGCGTTTAGGTTGGTTACCAGATAGGTCGGACCGTCATCCACCAAAAAAATATCGGCATCGAAAATTAAACCAGTCCTTGTCTAGAAGAGGCTCAGATCATGGATATCATGTATGTATCAGAAAAAAACAACACACTTTATGTTGTTTTTTTGTCTTTTCACAGTTTATAAAACTAAAAATAAATGAAATTTAAATTAGATGTTAAAACTTCTCATCCCACTAGGTTGAGTTTGCTTTAAAAAAATAAATTCACAATATTCAAGTTAGGCCTAACGTTTGATTAAAACTTATAAAATTTATAACACAAGTGTATATTGTGGTCTTCTGGTTTATATTGATATTGTTACGTCTCCGTTTGTTAATTGATTTTTCCGTAACTTCGTTTCGACGAAATTTTAACGACACAAGTCTTTACTTAATAAAACTGGTTTATTCTTTCCGAATATAACTCTGCGATACACTTAATCTCAATACTCGCGCTAAAACAACACCGTAACGAACGAACGTTAACTTCAACAATACCGTGTGACTGCAGTTCAATTACTCACTATCTACACACACATTACATTACCTCCGCGCGTCACGTTTTCCCCATCTTATATATATACCAGCCTACCCTACTAGTAAATACTAGAGCATTCGCCAAAGTACAATGATAATTCTA